CCTGCTGGAGTTTGGGTTTTATCCTATAGCAGAGGAAGCAGTCACTGAGCATAGGGAATTGGATTCAGATTTTGGTAATTTTAAGTTACTCCAAAATGCAGACTTAACTGTTGACTTCTTGTAAAGGACATTATTTGTTCAACTCAAAATTGGAGCGACTATTGAACAAAAGAAATTACTGCAAAATAAGTTTTTTCATAGTCCTTCTCAACTATGCAGACATCTTGCAAATTTCCATTTCTTCATTACTTGTAATGGAAGTCTAATCATTACAATGATTTTTTTGTGAATTTTGTTTAAAATTACTTTGAGTATTTGGTTCTGAAGGTTTCTAGAAAGTGTCCTTTTTGTCTGCTACTGCTTTGCAGGACTGGCAAGGCAGTGTACGGCTTTCTCTGGAGCTACCAAGGCAGCAAGGATAAAAATAGGACAAACTTTAAGAATCTCAGATATTTTCAGATAACAAAGACTGATTTATGTGGGCCCGTTTTGTGCTCTGACAAAACATAGAGACACTTTTGTGCTGTGATTAGCAAGGGTGCTGATGTCAGTTCTCTTGTCGAGCATCAAGCTTTATTCTGTGGCTAAATTGTGCTTTGTACCATAATCCAGAGAACCTTTGTATCTGCTTTATTAAAGTGTGTAGTTTATGTAATTGCTTTTGTTTTCCAGTTTAATCTGTGCCAGATTCAATGAGGGTGACTCATTTTGTGACTGAGACAAACATTCACATTTGGACCATGTTAAAAATAAATAAATAAATGGCAGGTGCTACTTGGCTAAATTCTGTGTTTTAATGCTGTAATTTCCTGCCATAAGGGTTCATGTCTTGTATAATGTCTACTCAGCCTCTGTAATCACTAGCCCAGTACATCTAGTGCACCTCAATTCATTGCTACTCATTTCTTGATTATTTATTTTAGTTCCTAAGGGCTTTTTGAATTTTAACAATGTGATTTCAACAGGGAAGCCAAGGAATGGCTGAGGAGGGAGCTACAGTTAGCTGGAAAACAAAGAATGACACATAAGCTGTAGCAAAAGGACATGCTGCTTGCTTTTCTGGTTTTTCTATTTTCCCTAGATGTTTCATGCCTGTGTTTTGGTAAAGTTATCTTAGTTATGTTTATTTTATTATCTATATATTCAGTATTGGAGCTCCTTTTCTCAAGTGGAAGATAATTTGGGAAAGCACTCTTTTCATTGTGGCCCATGTATCAAAGCTAATCTCAAAAATTTTACAAGTCTGTTCTCTCAGGAAAATTCTATTATTGTACAAATATCCTATGTACCAGATCCTGTGCTATGGCAAATAACGCAGATGTGGTCACTATCTTCTTGAACTTTTCAGTCTGTTTGGGGAGTTAGATGCTATACAAATAAATACAAAGAAAAATTGAATTGCAAAATTACACAAATCACTACATAGGTAAGAAATAGGGTCTCTAGGGACTGGGCGCAGTGGCTCAAGCCTGTAATCCCAGCACTTTGGGAGGCCGAGGCGGGTGGATCACGAGGTCAAGAGATCGAGACCATCCTGGTCAACATGGTGAAACCCCGTCTCCACAAAAAATAAAAAAAATTAGCTGGGCGTGGTGGCGCGTGCCTGTAATCCCAGCTACTCAGGAGGCTGAGGCAGGAGAATTGCCTGAACCCAGGAGGCGGAGGTTGCGGTGAGCCGAGATCACACCATTGCACTCCAGCCTGGGTAACAAGAGCGAAACTCCATCTCAGAAAAAAAAAAAAAAAAAAGAAATAGGGTCTCTAAAACTGTGCTTCTTCTTACCTATTATTTTACGTTACCTTGGAGTTGGTTGTGTTGAGGGTGTTCAGGGAAGAGAAGCCCTAAAGGTTGGAGTTGGCCAGGCAAAAAGTGAGGGAAAGAATGTAATGTATTTAGGGAAAAACATGTGCAAAGCCCGAGGCAGGTAAGAGTTTAGCCTTCTATAAACCCTATTATTGGAGGGGAAAAGTGACAGTTGATAAAAATTGAGAGAAAAAAGACAAGAAACTGTACCTAAAAGATGAACTATGCAAGCACAGCAATACAGTAGTATTTATTAATATCATAGGGACAAATGACACTCCATACAGTACAACAGCCTCTGAGAGCCTCCTGAAGTACAGTATAGAAAGGGATGCCTATAATACTTAGTCTGAATCATTGGAGAATGGATTATGTTTGGTGAAGTATGTAGTAAGGCATTTTAGAAAGATTTGCATGCAAGACAATAAAGTTTTAAAAAGTCATTACGCAGCCATAAAAAACGACGAGTTTGTGTCCTTCAAAGGGACATGGATGAATCTGGAAACCATCGTTCTCAGCAAACTGACGCAAGAACAGAAAACCAAACACCGCATGTTATCACTAATAGGCAAGTGTTGAACAATTAGAACATGTGGACACAGGGAGGGGAGCATCACACACTGCGGTCAGTTGCGGGGGGCTAGGGGAGGGACAGTGGGAGGGTAGGGAGGGTAGAGACAGATAACGAGGGGAGAAATACCAGATACAGGTGATGGGGGGATGAAGGCAGCAAACCACCTTGCCACGTATATACCCATGCAACAGTCCTGCATGAGCTGCACGTGTACCCCACAACTTAAAGTACAATTAAAAAAAAAAAGTCATTTCTGTTTTTAAAGATGAAGCTTCACCATCTCGAGAAGTCACTAACTCAAAGATATGATTTCTTGAGGGTCCAACATAAATAACATAATATTCTGTATTCTTTTGCTTTACTTCTGCATTACTTTTTAAGGCTTACTGCTTGATAGGGAAGTATCCATAGAGGCATAATTTTACTAAGAGATGATATTTATTTTGCAGTGAATAGATGCATATTAAATGGATTTTTATAGTCCAAAAATAGCACTAAAATCATGTGAATCTAACACTTTATGACTTTTCAGTATTATCTAAAACATCTATAGGACTCTACCCTGCCTTCTCCTTAGACATGAATTATTTACTGTTTCCTTTGAGCTACTTGAAGAATGAGAGGTTAATTTAAAATTAAAGACCTAATGATATTAAAGACCTATATAATGTTTGTAGGCCTTTGAAATTTCTCTAGTAATCCTCTTGTTAAAGGATTGCCTAAGTTTTTCTATAGAGGAAGGCCCGTTCATTTAGCAATAGTTCTGCAGACGTTTTGTCTGGGTTGCTGTAGTCTCAAGTATTTTCATGTATGTTAAATATTTTTGTCACAATTAGCCAATTCTTTGAAGGTAGGAATAATGAATTATATACTTGTTTTTCTTCCAACAAGTAGCAAAGGGAATGTTTTATTCCTTTGGGGTTCATAAGATGTCTTGTTTCTGAGTACTTCCACTTCCCAGGATGTCCCCGCTCCCTGCTTCTTTTTTTTCTTTTCTTTTTTCTTTTTTTGAGGAGTCTTGTTCTATCCAGGCTGGAGTGCAGTGGTGTGATCTCAGCTCACTACAACCTCTGACTCCTGGGTTCAAGCAATTCTCCTGCCTCAGCCTCCTGAGTAGCTGGGATTACAGGCACCTGCCACCACGCCCAGCTAATTTTTGTATTTTTTTGATAGAGGTGGGCCAGGCTAGTCTCGAACTCCTGACCTCAAGTGATCCGCCCACTTAAGCCTCTCAGTGTTCTGGGATTACAGGCATGAGCCACAGCACCTAGCCTGAGTGTCCTGTTGAGGCAGTCTTACCTAGAATGTTCAATCTGAAGCAGAGAATGTCTCTTGGTAAATGACTGAGACTTGCTAAAATAGGCCTCTTAACTATCTAGCTGCTTCCCTGAGGAAGAACTTCGAAGAAGAGTAAGGTGTAAATTTGTTTCCAGGCTCAGATGTTGGGATTTAAGGCTGACGAGGAAGGCTGTTTGTCATCTGGTTCTGCTTTTATTATTTGGTGAATATAGATTTAGGGAGGGAGCTAGTAAAATAATTTTTAGGCTTCTCTAGGTGTAGTATTAAACTCAGAATTTATCAGAATTTGTGGAAGGGGTATGTGGTAAGTGTAGCCCAGATTGCCCATGTATATTTGTTGGGAAGAGGAGGAGAAATATTAAGAGTTAAATCCCATATTCAAGAATACAGGTCTTATTCGTGTAGTGTTTGAACAACAGGCTGTGTGGCTAAAAGAGAGACACAATCAATTGCTTCCCAGGCAAGAAGCCAGAAAAAGCTTTGAAACCCTTTTTCCCCTCCCTACTCCTTGCCACTACATCTAAAAAAAAAAAAAAAAAGAGAGAGAGAGAGAGAGAAATCTTTTAAATGTTTAAAATCTGCAAGTTTTATGAAGAAGCAGCTTTATGTGTATTCTTTATGTCATGATATTAACCCATGAAAATCTGTTGCTTTTTAAAAAATTGTGGCAAAATATGTGTAACATAAAATTTATTTTAACTTCTTAACTCATAGTTCACTAGCATTAAGTATTAATACATTCACAGTGCCATTGCAACCGTGGCCACCATCATCTCCAGAACTTTATCTTCTTCAACTCAAACTCTAGGCCCATTAAATGCTATAATAACTCTCCATTCCCCACCCCACCCGCAGGCCCTGACAACCACCCTCCTGCTTTCTGTCTGTATGAATTTGACTACTCGAACTACCTCATATATGCAGAATCATACAATATTTGTCTTTTTATGACTGGCCATTTCACTTAGCATAATGTCCAGCTTCATTCTTTTCCACATGGATTTCTAGTTTTCCCAACACTGTTTGTTGAAGCCATAACTTTTTTATATTTAGTAAAAACTAAATCTTCCTTGATTTATTGCCTTGATATTATATAGTAGGAAATTTAAGAGAAGATACGGAATATATATACATTATTAAGTTAATTGAGGTATCAGTAAACTTTGCCTTTCAGAGTGGCAGATTATTCTGTGGTTAAACACACACACACACAAACACACTGACTTTCTGTAGACAATGCATTTGTAAAATTCGTTTGATAAATGTGCATCTTATTGAAAACATTATCTCAATGCTGAATGGATATTTTTGTTTTGTTTCTAGGCATGGAAGCGGAGATGGTTCGTGTTACGCAGTGGCCGTTTAACTGGAGATCCAGATGTTTTGGAATATTACAAAAATGATCATGCCAAGAAGCCTATTCGTATCATTGATTTAAATTTGTGTCAACAAGTAGATGCTGGATTGACATTTAACAAAAAAGAGTTTGAAAACAGCTACATTTTTGATATCAACACTATTGACCGGATTTTCTACTTGGTAGCAGACAGCGAGGAGGAGATGAATAAGTGGGTTCGTTGTATTTGTGACATCTGTGGGTTTAATCCTACAGAAGAGGGTAAGTTTAAGATATTACCATTCAACCTGAATTGTTCTTTTCTGCTACATTTCTAGAAATGTCATACAATTCTTTGTTATCTTAGTTACACAATATAATGTTTTATTTTTATAATAGGAACTTGACATTTGGAAAAAGCACTGAATCCTTTAATTAGTTTGGGGAGAAATGTTTTACAAGTTTTAGAGAGACAGACTTAGACATTGTGAGGCAGTTTCTACATAATTATCCTGAGGTAGAAGGTAACAAGAAGACATTTAAGAAATTTATTGAGTTCCAATAAAAATACTCAATTTAACCATGTAACACTATTGATATTTGACTATTTTTTACCTATTAAAAAAACACTTTTATGTAGCTCAACCCAATTCTTTAGGTGATACTTAAAAATATATTTTAAAACTGTATTAGATTGTGGCCAGGCACAGTGGCTCATGCCTGTAATCCCAGCACTTTGGGAGACTGGTGGATCACTTGAGGTCAGGAGTTCAAGACCGGTCTGGCCAACACAGCAAACCCCATCTCTACTAAAAATACAAAATTAACCAGGCATGGTGGCACACGCCTGTAGTTCCAGCTACTCAGAAGGCTGAGGCAGGAGAATCACTTGAACCCAGGAGACAGAGGCTACAGTGAGCTGAGATTGCACCATTGCACTCCAGCCTGGGTAACAGAGCAAGACTTTGTCTCCAAAAACTAGATTAGATATCCCATTTATGCGTAGTATTCCATTATTGGAACACTAAGCATGTGGGAGTTATTTATATCCTACTGCTCAAGGTCATCGCCAAAGTCTGATTGCAGAAATTCAAAAAATTACAACCTCAGACATAAATGGGTTATGAAGTTAGGAAATAGCCAAGCTGATTATCATTACCCATGAAATGCAAGTGAGAATCCGTCACAAAACACAATGAAAAAGTACCAAACAAATGAATTACTTAGTACTGGTCCTACAAGGAACATGGAGGAAGGAAGAAGGACTCAAGGTTTGGGTAAGAGGTAGTGAAGGAAAGATTTTGAAATGAAAGTAAATTGCAAAATGTAGGCTTTTGACAGAAATAGTATTTCTGTGTAAATGAAAGGAGGGATACTGAACCCTCCAGGCTTAGGGACTTGGGAAAGAAAGGATCCAGAGAAGGAATCAAATTTTACTTGACAGGAGCAGGAGGGCTCTGAATGAAAAAGGCTCAGGGATAGTTGCTTAGAGATCTTGAATGAGGAACTGAGATTTGGGGTGCCCATTCTGGAAAGAGCTGAGTGACTAGAGGGTTCAAGAAGAATTTTACAAGTGGAATTTTACTTCAGGTACTTTTTAATTTTTTTTTTTTTTTTGAGATGAGTCATCAGTTTGTCGCCTAGGCTGGAGTATAGTGGTGCGATCTCGGCTGACTGTAACCTCTGCCTCCCAGGTTCAAGCGATTCACATGCCTCACCCTCCCCAGTAGCTGGGATTACAGTTGTGCACCACCATGCTGGGCTAATTTTTTATATTTTTAGTAGAGATGGGGTTTCACCATGTTGGCCAGGCTGGTCTCAACTACTAGCCTCAAGTGTTCCGCCCGCCTTGGCCTCCCAAAGTGTTAGGATTACAGGCTTGAGCCACCACACCTGACCTTGGGTTCTTTTTTTTTTTTTTTTTTTTTTTTTTTTTTAAGACGGAGTTTCACTCTTGTTACCCAGGCTGGAGTGCAATGGCGCGATCTCGGCTCACGCCTCCTGGGTTCAAGCAATTAAGCAATTCTCCTGCCTCAGCCTCCTGAGTAGCTGGGATTACAGGCACACGCCACCATGCCCAGCTTATTTTTTGTATTTTTAGTAGAGACAGGGTTTCACCATGTTGACCAGGATGGTCTCGATCTCTTGACCTCGTGATCCACCTGCCTCGGCCTCCCAAAGTGCTGGGATTACAGGCTTGAGCCACCGCGCCTGGCTCTCTCTGCTTTTTCTTTTTAAACAAACACTAAACACGTAGGTAGGATTCCAGTACAAAGTAGCTTTGTAGAGCCAAGAATCAGAAATAAAGGTGAACCGAGGTCTTTGACCTTTTCATCTTTGTGATGAAAAGGTTATACTCACATTTAGAAGTGTGCATTTCCGAACATCTCCATTTAGGAGTGCTGTAGATTCCTTGAGGGGTGGAAAATTGTGTTAATAATCAACACCAAGATGGGGATTGGAGTGGGACTAATCATCTCTAATGAGCTCAGGCCAGCGTGCTGCTTCCTCTCTGGCCAGTCAGCAGCCCTGGAGAAAGGAGCCTGCCAGGGCTGGGGTTTGCCCAGTGGGGTCGGGGAAACCCCTTGATGAGGGAGTTCAGAATCCCATGGGACAGCACTCTACAAGAGAAGGAGAAATCCAGCTTAGCTGGAAGGGGGCTGATGAAATGGAAATCTTCAGCAGAGCTCTGGTGATTAAAAGTCTCAAGAAGTTGTTTCACAGGAGGAATTAAGGCTTCATTTGTTTTCGTGAAATTACTAAATATGGTCACAGTGTAAGTGGGCATGGGGGTGCTACTTCTAACTTGAGTTAAAACCCTTTCCTTTTCTGCTTGCATTTATATTTATATTTGAGTGCAGTGGAGGGTTTCAAAGTTAAAATTACAAATAAAATAGCTCTGTTTTTAATGGTTAACAACTAGTCAGTAATGATAATTATTGGATTTAGACAGCACGTTAGTTTTATTATGTAATGGATTATCTGTTAATTTGTCATTTTATTATCTTCTTGTTCCTTTGCCTGTTGCCTTTTCAATGTAGAATTTGTTTTGGGAGGGGACATAAGAACAGACTTTTGTCTCTTGCTTGTCTGTATAGATTGAGCTGATCCAAAAAGCTAAATCATAGATGTTCTTCCACCTCTCTTCTTTTTACAATGCTCCTAAATGTATTTACAAAGGAAATGAGATGTTCTCGTAGAGGAGGTATTCTTCAGTCAAGGAATGTGAGTCTAATTTTTTTGAAGCCCATTCAAGGATGGGTAAAGTTGAGAACCCAGAATAAGAATTTCTAACGCTCAATTGTCTGAGATTAACTTTGCAAGTTTTAAGGCACAGCGTCGTGTCTATCTGGCCACCTTAGAACGATTCTTATCATTTGGGAGCTTGACAAACAGCCACTCAGCTTTGGGAAGGAAAGCTTGGTGTGCTTTTAGAAAATCGATTGATTAGTTCGCCAAATTATTTGAGTTTACTGACACTACTAGGCTGTGGAAATTCATTCAACAAACATGTATTAGGCGACAAGGAGACAAAAGGTAAACAGCACAGGCTGAGCGTCTGATGGGAGAGGATTCATTAAGAGAAATAGCCAAAATAATTCATTATAATAATTGAGGAGTACAGGTTTATATATATACATGTATATATACATACATAAAAGTATAATTCTGTGGAAGTTTATAAATATAGTTCTTGTGTTCATAGAGCTTACCGTCAGTCTAGTAGGAGAGACAAATAATCCAGGAATTATACTGCTGGTGCATAAGCATTCTGCTAAAGAACTAGATAAGCATTGTTAGCAGCAGCATCTGATTTAATCTTAAAGAGGGTCAGGAAAAGCCTAGGTAGTTTCAGTGGCTCTGTGATTGTAACTGATAATGTACTGAGAACTTTATTTTTGTACTTAGCAGAAATATTTTTGTTGATTTTAGAAGTCAGAATCAGTCACTCCCAATGTCTGTTTTCACATTATAAAATTTCTAGCAAATAGGGAGAGGTGAAGTTTCAAAAGGTAAAAGCTTCAGTGACCTTTTCAGTGGTAAAACTCCCAATTCCTTACAAAATAGATTAGAGGTATATTTAGGTTGAGTGCAACTCTCAATTTGTGAACTTTCATCTTTACAAGATCCATGGTGGAGGGAGGGGTGTAAGAAAATCCATAGTATGATTATTCACATTTCTTATATATAGTCTGTGTGTTGGACAGCTGTGTTAATCACGAGTCATTTTTATGTGTTCATAAATAGATAATCTGCCAATACGTTCTACATTGAGGTCATGAGCTGTATCTAAATGAAACCGCATTTACTTTTTAAATTCTGTGACTGAGATTTTTCACTTCATTCTGGTTATTTCCGCAAATAGTCACATTTAGAAGTGTCTTAATATACTATTTTGAGGTATTTGTTGATTTTCTTGGAATAAATCTGTAAAACATGAACAGTTCTTCATTATGTAGTATCAAGCAGCCAAAAACATATTTTATTCTGTAAGTTTGGTTTTTGATCCATAGTGGCAAAACTGCAAAAAGAAGACTTCAATATCTTTCACACATTTAAGTTCTAAATAGCAGAGAACTGCTATTATCTTTTGTAATCATATTTATACAGTTTAATATGACAAGGTAAACAAAATGCCTTTGTTTTTCCACTGACTTGACTACCTGCTTTATATTCTTTTGTGTCCAAATAGATATCACCACCAATCACTAAATAATAGATGTTTTTGTTTTTACCCTGATCTGTCCCGAGCCCTGTGCTCTTCCTGTTTCACAAAGCTGACTGTCCTCCTACTGTTGGCTTGAAAATTAGCTAAGAGTACAAGATGGTTTTTTACTATACTAGTTTCAGACTAGATGTGAGAAGAAATAGACCATGTGTGGTTATCACAGTCTGAGAAAATAATCGTCCCCAATCCCTGTGAGAATAACTGATTTTCCCCTGAAAACAAAAGGAAAAGGGAAAAATCTGACCTATGTTTTGATTCCAGGAACCTCTCAAAATATCGTTAACATGTTATTTCCGCTGCCCCAGGTGACCACTGCTATTATTGAATACTCAAAATGCTGGCAGGCTATATCTGTTTTTAAGTCCTAGCTCATTAAACTGTGTATGGTTCCTATGAATGCTTTTCTTTAGTAGATTTGAGGATAGAAACTAATTTCTTTGTTTTTCTTGGAAATGTACAGATTTATTTTTGTTTCTACAGCACGAGGTGGAAGCTGTTAGATCTGCTAAACAAGTATCGGAAAGCAGCTCACTAACTTCATATAAAGGCCTCT